GTCCAACGTTCTGGCATAGTTTCTATTCGATTTTGAAATGCCTGCACACGGAAGACGCGATGATAAGCATACACATACAGGTGGGAAACTCAGAAATTGGAAAGAAAACCGAGAGAGAATACATACCAAACAGCGACCGGGACCTGGATGCTCTCTTGTGCTGGGACCAGGAATGATTACGGCAATCCGCCATCCTTTAAAAAACCTTCATAATTAGAAGGTAAGTTGTTTTTGAATCACTGTAAATAGAACATATAATTTTATTTTTTTTACAATTCTTGTTCTGTTATCTTTGTTCCATGGTAGTATAGAGTTTAGTAATATTTTCGCGAATAGTATTAGGAGAACAAAGTGTAAAAATTAAGAATCATAATGCAATCTATTATATATATATATAAAAGTAAAATCCTCCTTCCTAAAATTTCTCCCCAAAACTTAGGTGCATTTGTGTAATATCCAAATTTAATTAATTAAAGAAATTATATATAAGATTAATTATACAAGATTAAGGAATATTTCGTGTGCATATACAAGATTAAGTAAATTCCGTGTGAATAATATATATATTTCATAAATATATAGTGTGTGACTAATTAGTTATGGAAAGAAAGAATTTTATGGTAATTAATTGATTACTTTATAAAATTTATTTCGTGTGAAGTTTTTCATAACTAAAATTTCATTAATTACAAATTATATATTCATATCCCTGTGTATATAATTACTAGATATATATTTCATAAATATTCTGTTTGTGACTAATTAGTTATGGAAAGAATGAAAATTATGATAATTAATTAATTAGTTTATAAATTTATTCCGTGTGTAGTTTAGTTGACTTAAATTTAATTAATTATACAAATTATATATTCATATCCGTATGTATATAATTACTCTTATATAAAGTTCATAAATATTCCGTTTGTGACTAATTAGTTATGGAAAGAAAGAAAATTATGGTAATTAATTAATTAGTTTATAAAATTTATTCCGTGTGAAGTTTAGTTGACTAAAATTTAATTAATTATAGAAATTGTATATTCATATCCGTGTGTATATAATAATTACTCTATATATATATTTCATAATCATAAATATTCCGTGTGTGACTAATTAGTTGTGGAAAGAAAGAAAATTGTGGTAATTAATTAATTTATAAATTTATTACCTATGAAGTTTAGTTGGCTAAAATTTATTTAATTACATATTCATGTCCATGTGTATATTTTTTTTTTTTTTTGAAAGTTACTGGCTCTATGACATTGTAGTATCTGTTCATATACTTTCTCAACCTATTGAAATACAAAGAACCAATAACGCCTCCACTAAGGCTCGAACACATAATCTTCCAAATGGAAGTCCAACCCGGGTACCATTAGATCACATAATCCTGGTATGTCCGTGTGTATATAATTCCGGGTGTGACTAATTAATTATGGTAATTAATTAATTAATTTATAAAATTGGAGTCCATGTGATGTTTAGTTGACTAATTAGGCAGTACGGTAATTTAAGAAATTTTTTTTCAAAGTTTATGTTCATATCCGTGTGAATATAATTACTCTATATATATTTCATAAATATATAGTGTGAGACTAATTAGTTATGGAAAGAAAGAATATTATGGTAATTAATTGATTACTTTATAAAATTTATTCCGTTTGAAGTTTTCATAACTAAAATTTCATTAATTATACAAATTATATATTCATATCCCTGTGTATATAATTACTCTATATATATTTCATAAACATTTTGTGTATGACTAATTAGTTATGGAAAGGAAGAATATTATGGTAATTAATCAATTAATTTATAAAATTTATTCCGTTTAAAGTTTTGTTCACTAATTAGACAGTAGGGTAATTAAAGAATAATTTTCCATAATGTCATATGCAAATTACCGTGTATATATATATATATATATATGTATATATATATATATATATATATATATATATATATATATATATATATATATATATCATGGTTGTAGTAGGTGCTAGGCACTAGTCGGGCGCCCGGACAGCGCCTAGCGCCTAGGCGGAATCTAGGCGGGCGCCAAAAAAATAGTGGTGGACTTGAAGTTTGACAATTTTATTGAGGCTGTTTTCAACATTTAATCAAATAGCACATCTAAATAAATGAATTAATGATAATTTCATAAGTCATAACATCAAAACAATGGTTTAAAAAAAAAAACACTAAAACAATATTAAAAATTAAAAATACTCAAATATGAAATACTCAAATACTTCAATCATCCAAAGATTCAAAGTATCAAACTAGTCTACGAGTGTATATATGTCATATTATATATATGTATGCGCGCGCGCGCACGCGCGCACACACGCACACACATATAATAAAAAAATAGGTCGAGCCGATCAGGTTAACTCGACCGAAATGGACGAGTTAACTCGACTAACTTAGACGCTAGGCGGCCAAATCGGCTGAGTTCGGCGCTAGGCGGACGCCTAAGCAGCCGGTAACCTAGGCGGGCGCCTAGGGGGGAAATCGCCACGGTCTAGAGGTGTCTAGGGCCTAGGCTGGGCCTAGACCGAGTTTTACAACCTTGATATATATATATATATATATATATATATATATATGTATGTATGTATATGAATGATACAACTCTCACTAAGATTTTCTTATAAAATCAGAACACAATACACAATACTACGTTTTCCTCATCTACCTACATATTAAAACTCATACACAATACTGCGTGCATCGGTCTAGGTTGAATTCCCATGTAGTCTAATTAGCTTTCTATAATCGATCTCTCTCTTAGAACTACAAAAACATCTATATGCCTTAGGTTAATATGCTGCTATTTTTCTAGAGAATATCAACGCACGCCATTGCACCACCAAACTTTGGAATGCTTATTTCATGATTATAAGGTATGCATTTAATTTATAAATTATTTACAACATAGTTTTTTCTCTTTTTTTCAATATCTATTTATCAATTGTAATTAATGAATGATTCCTGTAGGGAATATGCATACATCTACAAATTCCAAAAGAATATGTGGACAAATTTGCTACTGTTTTGATCGAAGGAAAAGTGTATGACTTTGAGAATTTTATTGTGCACACATCTCGCGTGAGGTTTAAGATGTGTCAACACAAATTCATTATGAAAGCAAACAGTGAAACGATGATTAAAGTCTCGGATCAAGATGATTTAATTTTTTCCAAAAAAAAAAAAAACATGTTTAAATTTATGGACTTTGGGTCCTTGAAGGCTCCAGGGGTGATGATCGTAATGAATTAATTGGTAAGATCATTATATTGGTATAATTAAATATAAATATATAGCCTTTATTACGAAATCAATTTATGTTAATTCAGGAAAAGTCGATTGAGCATAACCCTGTGGGACACATTCGTAGTTCAACAAAATCTTAGTTGCCGTATAGGAACTGGAAATCTTGATTAACACAAATTGATTTCGTAATAAAGGCTATATATTTATTTATACAAATAAAGAAGACATAATAATTTTACAAAAATACATACCTACAATCCTCAATGACGAAATCAATCAACCTTTGAGGTTGTTGAATAACTTTAGACTCTTGAATGGAAGCTACATGACCAATCAAATCTGTGGGAAAAAAAATAGAATCGGAAGATTGTAGAAAGAAATGACATAGACTAATATGAAAGAGTAATAAAAATAACAATATGTATAAAAGTTGTTGCAATAATCTTACCAATTAATTCGTTACGATCAACACCTCCTAGATCCTTCAAGGACCCAAAGTCCTTAAATTTAAACATGTTTTTTTGGAAAATTGAATCATCTTGATCCGAGACTTTAATCACCGTGTCATCGTTTTCTTTCATAATGAACTTGTGTTGGCACGTCTTAAACCTCACGCGAGATGTGTGCACAATGAAATTCTGAATGTCATACACTTTTCCTTCAATCAAAACAATAGCAAATTTGTCCACATATTCTTTTGGAATTTGTAGATGTATGCATATTCCGTACGAGAATCATTCATTAATTACAATTGATAAGTAGATATTGAATAATAGAGAAAAACTATTGTGTAAATAATTTATAAATACAATAAATACCTTATAGTCATTAAATAAGCATTCCAAAGTTTGGTGGTGCAATGACGTGCGTTGATATTCTCTAGAAAATAACAGCGCATTAACCAAAGCCATATAGATGTTTTTTAGTTATAAGAAAGAGATCGGATGCAGAAAGCTAATTAGACTCCATGGGATTTCAACCGTACGAGGCACTATTGTGTATTGGTTTTATATGTAGGTAGATGAGGAAAACGTAGTATTGAGTATTGTGTACTGATTTTATAAGAAAACTTCACCGAGAGTTGTAGCATTTATATATATCAAAGTACACGGTAATACAATATGAGAGTATTGAAAGAATATACCATATTTTGGATTAATACCATAAAACCATACTTTATTATTAATTTTAATAATATGCATGCGATTAAAGAATCATACCTAATATGCATGATAATGTATATATAATCTAGACGGTAATATCTACTTAAAATTGATTTTAGGGTCCGTTTGGAAAGTAAGAAAATGACTTCTGGAAAATGTTTTCTTGAAATTGAGTAATTTTCCAGAACACATTTTCCATTCTACTATTTGGTTGCACACGGAAAATTACCTTTGTGTGTTTGGTTTACTTTTCGGAAAATGAGCTTTTGTATTATTATTATTATTATTATTATTATTATTATTATTATTATTATTATTATTATTATTATTATTATTATTATTATTATTGTTATTATTGTTATTATTGTTATTAAATATGAAAACAGAATGTGAAGTGATATGAGGGTAAATTCCCTGAAATTAGTACTATTGTTTGGAAAATCACCGACGTCCACGAGATCCAAATCGACTCCAAGATATTGAAATGGAGAAATCTTGGAGAAGAAGAGATGGGAAAGTTGCGATATTGGCAAAGCAGCTTTGCAAAGGGTTTCTGAAATGGAGAAATCTTGGAGAAAAAGAGATGGGAAGGTTGCGATATTGGCAGAGCAGCTTCACAAAGGGTTTCTGAAATGGAGATATCTTGGAGAGGAAGAGATGGGAAGGTTTCGATATTGGCAGAGCAGCTTCACAAAGGGTTTCTGAAATGGAGAAATCTTGGAGAAGACAAGATGGGAAAGTTGCGATTTTGGCAGAGCAGCTTCGCAAAGAATCACTTCTCGTACCCACAGCTTCGCGAAGAAGAAGTGGAAAATGACTTCCCCAAAAAAAAAAGGGGGGGGGGGGGGGGGGGGGGGGGGGAGTCATTTTCCGTAAAAATCCATTCATTTTCCATTGACTTTAGTGTTTTCCTTCTTGCCAAACACTGGAAATCCGGAAAATGATTTCCAGAAATCATTTTCCGGGTTTCTAAACACACTCTTAATACCACGTATATGAGTAGCATACATAGATGTACACGGTAAATTAAGTAATCATACCTAATATGCATGGTAATCTATAATTAAAATTATTTAATACCATACCTAATATAGACGGTATTATCTAATTAAAATTGATTTTAATACCATGTATATGATTAGCATACATAGGTGCACACACTAATTTTTTTTTTTTTTTCTTCAATTGACTGATTTATTTCTGGCAAACACAAGATAATACATACCCAAATATTACTATATACATAATAACATACTTTATTATTATTTTTAATACCATGCACACCATTAAATAATCATACCTAATATATAGGATAATACCTAATTAAAATTATTTAATACCATAGTAGTTAATATACACGGTATATGATTACCTAATTAATATTTATTATGGTTATAAAATCATATTATGGTTTTTACGTCCATAACTACCAAAAGTTAGGAGGCGATAAGCTTGTGATGACACGGATCCCTCGCATGACCACCATGTGCCTAACTATAACTCTCCCATTAATTACATCATAATAATTATTATTATCATTATTTACTTTCCTCACAAAATTTTCATCTAATGAATTGAAAAAAATGGATAGATTTTCAATTCATTGAAATTAACTTTGATGGAAAACCAATTAATATTATTTTAATATATTAGTTTATTATAGTTGGGGAAAAATTATACAATTATACAATTAGTTATATAAAATAAGGTAAAAATTTTGTGATATAATAGTAATAAAAATTTTGTGATACAATTAGTAATAAATTATAAAATTAGTTATATAAAATAAGGTAAAAATTACGGATTATTTACTTGCTGAAAAATTTGAGTGAATTATTTTATTATAAGCAGCAAAATATTAAAAAGCGGAAAATACATAGGTTGTATTGTGTAAATTAAAACTGACAAAACCGGAAACTACATGCATACATAAATTTAGATTTTTAAATTATTTAATTTTCGAAATTTTTGAATAAATTTGAATAGTACTATACATATGGTGCAATACTTGGTTACAAAATAAGCTTTATATAATTCGTATATAAATATAAATTATTAACACAGTTATATCAATTACAAATGATCAATTTGTTAAATTATACAAATTGTAAAATTGTTACAAATAATTGGCAAAAATGGCACCACATCCGTAAATGATTTGTAACAGTCCGTATGATTATATTTCGAATATATAAAGGAAAAGTGTGATTACATTATGAAAATATAAACAGAATATTACAAATTAGTACTAAATTAGGTAAATACCATTACATAAAAACTATTATTGAGAAGTGAAAAATGCCATTACATAAAAACTACGAAATGAAGAATAGTACAAAATGAATAATGAAAAATGCCATGAATAATAGTTTCCAATTGCGTGTAATGTTAGCATAATAATAATAATAATAATAATAATAATAATAATAATAATAATAATAATAATAATAATATAACATCAAAATACAAACAATTGATTTGATTAAAAACAAAGTGCGAGTAAAAATAATAACAAATAACATAACAAAGGCATGAGTTTAATAGATTAAATTGTTTGACACATTCCTCATTATTCATCTCTAAGTGGACTCCTCATTATTTGAATCCGCTTCTTTAGAATCCAAAATTCCAATTGGATCATATGATTTATCCTCTCCAGCTTGAGGGGAGTGTTGAAGGCAAATTATTGTGTGGACCATAACAAAAAGTACATTTTTAATATACTAAATGTATATTATTTATGTACTGAATGTACATTATATAATATAATGTACACTCAGTACACAAATAATGTACATCTCCTGAATACAATGTACATTTTTAATATACTAAAAATACATTATTTTTGTATTGAATATATATTATTTCATAATATACAAAATATGGTCTACACAACTTGGTGTGGACCATAGTTCACGCAATAATAATGGAGTGTTGAAACCCTAGGCCTTTTTAAAAATAGGCCCATTAGGTTATAGTTTATTCCTAGTTAGGTATTCTTGGTCCTCTTATTCTACTACATATACATCATTCAACAACCCTGCTAGGAACGGACTACATATACACGCTTGTTGTTGGAAATGTTTGAAGGTTTAGTTTGGCAGTTGCTATTAGGTTACCTTGGCCAATACATTCGGGACATTCAAACGGAGCAGCTCAAGATTACTCCTGTGGAATGGTAACTTGCTGATTATTTGAGAAAAGCACTCTTTTCCACTCCGGTTTACAAGTAATAGTAACAAAATTGACGAAGGGGAATTTTTTTATTTTCTTTTCTTTAATGTGATTGCATTTGGGCATTTTCATTTCTTTGTGCTGGGGTTTGAGCTTCTAATGAAAGTTTAGGGGTAAATATTTTGATGGTTGGCAATACATAACAAAGGATAAAGCTATACTTTTTTCTCTCTTTTAACTTTTTAATTCATGTTATATTTGTGGCATATCTGTATAATGATCATTTATAGCTACTTACAATAATCTGAATTTTAGATAAAATTTACATTAACAATCATCTTACTATCGCAGAAGAAGTATTATTGGAAAATGTTAAGCTGATTCTTGAAGCTTTTGATTACCTTCAGTTCCCATTTGCTTTAAAGCAAGGTAAATTCTCTGTACTTTTTCCATGTATTCTGCTAATTATTCTAGTACAAGCATTTTTAGAATGCTTTAAAAACACCATTTAGTTATTACTTGCCATAATTCCATTATAGTCTTATAGCTTGCAGCTATTGCTGTATCTGAGCTTAAATTATGCTTATGGAATTTTGTTCTCCAATTTGCTAAATTTACCTTAGCTTGCAACTGTTTGCTGTATGGTATTGTGGGAATTTAAAAGAACAACACTATGAAAGTTATAAGCTCATTATTTTTTGGGAGAGGGTGGGTGGAAGCATAGATATTTTTGATATGTGTGCTAAAGGTCGAAAGTCAAGTTTGTCAGCACTTGATACTTTGATGCCATTACAAGCCAACTAAAATAGTGTGACCTTTGGCTTTGTTATATTCATCTAAAACCCAAACCTGCTAAGTGAGTTATCACAGATAAATACTTGTGCAATATCCTCCAATTTAATAAAGAAATTATAAAGGGGATGAGGGGGTCTAAAACTTATTGTGAAGGCAGTTCCTTTGCCGTTTATGATCTAGGATTTATGGTTCATGATTATGAGTTCAGAGTACTAAAGCGTCTAACTTCATTTATGTTTATAGGTCATGTTGGCAAGTTGAGTATTAGGATTCCATGGAAAAAGCTTGGCTGGGATCTTGTTATAATCATCTTAGAGGATGTATTGATCTGTGCCTCCCAAGGAGATGAAAAAGAGGTATTAATTAATATAAACCACTATTTATGCTTGTTTTCCCTTTTAAACAGCTTTATTATAGTAGCTATTAATTAATAGCCCGATTTTTATACATGATCCTAATTAAATGCTACCTAAGAATGATACAGAACTATAGTTATTTAGTAGAAAAAAAAAGTTTCAATAAGTAAAGCGGAGTTCCCTAGTTAATGGTATGCATTCAACAGAAAGAAAGGAAAAGATACAATGCTGAAATGCAGTAGCGGAAGAAAAATAAGCTGAAATGACAGAACCAACTTCCAATAGGATTCAAATAATATATAATCTGACTTTTAACCAGAAAGGTCTAGTTTAAAGGAAGTGTTTGAAACATTAAATGCATGACAATAGGAAAGAAAATTAGATTTAAATGAAATGCAGATATAGCTCTAGCTGCCAAAACTGTAGGACTCTTAGACTTCCCGCTTACTACATCAGCCCTCAAGTTTGCTGGTTATGGTGTTTATGTTGCTGTGCGTTCTTTTATGGTTGTTTCCTTACATCAGCCCTCAAGTTTGCTAGTTCTTGGTATTTATGCTGCTGTGCGTTCTTTTATGGTTGTTTCCTTTATATGAATTTTAATTGATGAACACTGCTTTGATTTATTCATTTATTTTTTCCAGGCAGTGACTGTATTTGCTATGAAGTTTTCAAGCTTGACAATTATGAAGCAACATTTTCCTGGGTATTATTCTATTTTTTGACGCACTATTAGCTAAGTGCTCTCTGTAGTGGATAAATATAAAATAATAAATGTTTAGGCACAGCACAACAATTGCTAAGGCACAGAGAAACCAAAACTCTTAACTAGATTGTTAGAGATTGGTACTGTTGGAATTGAGGGATTGATAGGTCTGGCGGGTGGAGAATAACCACCACCCGCCAGTTAGGCGGAAGCAAAATATGTGAGAACCAAAGAACAAGAGAAGATAGAGAATATATTATAATGAAAGATTACAATAGATTGGCTCTCTGTATATATGTTCTATACTTCAATGGACCTCTATATATACTAAACTAGATACTAAATTAGTCTAGGAAACTACTAATAAGAATAGGAAAGTAAGACAACTTTCATAATATTCAGCACTCCCCCTCAAGCTGGAACATCTGGAAGTTCCAAGCTTGGATTAAAACAAGCACTCTACCTCACTCAAAATTACAAATGAAAATTAAATGCAATTAGAGGATAACAATGCGAGATGGCTTCGGAGGGACAATGCAACCCTTGGGAATGAACACTTCAGGGGCAAAGCTTGTCACGAACATCCTTGGGAATGGGGCACCAAGGGAAAACACGAACACCGTCATAGCAACATAAGCACTCTAGGATGGATGACTTCAAAAGAGATTGCGCTATGTCTGACCCTTCCTTGGGAATGAAGACGAAGGCACCAAGAACGGAGCTGAACACAATCCTTGGGAATAAAGACGGAGACACAAGGACGAAGCTAAACACGATCTTGGGAATGAACACACCGAGGACGGAATTGAACATGAACCTCAGGAATGAAGATGAGCACACCAAGGATAGATTTAAATATGAACAACCCCCTATAACACAAGAGAGCGGTAGAGGCAAAAAGGAAGCAAAGAATAGCAAAGGACGCAGTAGAGCCCATAGTAGATAAAATACCAAATGATAGTAAAGGATAGCACACCGATTGTAGATAGTCACACTCCCCCTTACTTGAAACATGGGAAATAATCTAAGGTCTTTATAGTAGTGCTGAAACTGAACATCCATGGGATAAGGCATACCGGAGATAAAGAAACAAACACGGTTATACCAAAACACAAACACCATGGGAAAAGTTCGGCAACAAACCCAAAGAAGCCTTCAAATTTCACCAACAAGTCGAAAGAAGGGAAAAATAACAATCTGAAAAATTTCACCGAAAAATCTTGCCAGAGGTAGCGCGTGAGGATGACGGTGGGGAGGAAAGCGATTAAATTTTCCAGATAAGGTCGCAAGAGGGAGAGGAATCCATTGGTGTATGAGGTGAGATCACAAAATCACTGGAGAAGAGGAGATCTGACTGGAAAAACTAAAGCAGTCCGTCGCGATGGTGGCGTGTGACAGCGCGTGCGGCGGCGGATGTGACGAGATTCCAGGCGTAGGCTCGCGACGATGATCCGAGAGGTCCTGTGGTGAAAGATTTGGAGAACAACCACAAGATACGTCGGAACAGGAGAAAACAGTCACTGGTTCGCCGGAAAATAAGTGTTGCCGGAAATATTGGAAGAAAAATAGCCTAGAATGTAGGCTCTGATACCATGTTGAAATTGAGGGATTGATAGGTCTGGCGGGTGGAGAATAACCACCACCCGCCAGTTAGGCGGAAACAAAATATGTGAGAACCAAAGAACAAGAGAAGTTAGAGAATATATTATAATGAAAGATTACAATAGATTGTCTCTCTGTATATATGTTCTATACTTCAATGGACCTCTATATATATACTAAACTAGATACTAAATTAGTTTAGGAAACTACTAATAAGAATAGGAAAGTAAGACAACTTTCCTAATATTCAACAGGTACGCAGCGAAAATAAATAAAGATAAGTGTGTGTGAGATTGTGTCAAGTATATCCCGTGAGAAGCAAATAAGAGCAGTAAGTAAAGAAAGCAGTAAAGTACACAAGACAATTATAGTGGTTCGGAGGTGGTGTAATCCCATACTCCACTTGCTCTTATCTCCAAGAGCAATTCACTATATCCACCACTTCTTGGTTCCAAGATACAATGAATTCCGTGATCTAGTGCTTTGATCACCAAGCTCGCACTAATCACGCCCAGTGACACCACACTGCTGCTTCGGGTTTCACGTCGCCGTGCTACTTTCCCAGGATTTCACGACTCTGTGTTACTTCCCCCCCCCCCCCCCCCCCGTCTTCTACGCTCCGGTAGAAACACTCTTCCGTGATCTAGTGCTTTGATCACAAAGCCCGCACTAATCACACTCAGTGTCTCGACACTGCTGCTTCGGATCTCACAGCTCCGTGTGACAATCCAGGATCTCACATCTCCGTGTGACAATCCAGATTTCACAGCTCCGTGCTACTTTCCTCCCTTCCTACACTCCTGTAGGAATATCACTTGTTCAAAGACAAGTTTTCTTCTTGCTTCCAACTTCTGAGACTCTGTAGATGATCATCAATATGATGCAGGTCTCTTGGTGATGAAGATTAAACACTCTTGAATGATTTCTCGAGTGTTTTTCTCTTTTGAAAAGTATCAAGTATAACACTGATTTTTTATGCTCTGTTTAGCCCTGTTTTTAGAACTCTCTGGATATTTCTCTTTAAGCTCTCTAAGTTCTTTTTCTTTTCTCACTTGAAGATTTCTTTTCGTATGCTCAGTACCAATTTAAACTCTTGCTCTTTGAGTTCTTTGCTCTCTTATGCTCTATTTCGTATTTCTTGCTCTTTGTTCGTGAGTTCCCCACTTCCTCATCTTCAAGTCTTCATATCTTCATCCTTATATAGCTGGTAACGAGAATCTGCCCGTTGGAAAGAGACGATCTCATTTTTGAATTTTATATCTTTGTCAGATATCTTATCTTATCTTCTGGCAAAGTGTCAGAAAAGATAATCTACCGTTTGTAGAGCTCATGCAAATGAGTTCAAAGATAATCTAGCCATTTGTAGAGCTCATGCAAATGAGTTCCCAAACTTCATCTGATATTCTGGTGTTCTCACGTTTCTTGGAAATATCTGGGTCTCAGTTTTATGTAGAACGGCTTTGGTTCTTGGGATTTAAAGAAAGTATTTTTCTTTCTGAGAATTTCTTCACTGTAAGTTTTCTTCTTCTTCTTTCTCACGTCTGGGTGTGGGTTTTCTTTGAATTTCTCTTTTGTATTCTTGATCGAACTCCCTCCCTGTCATCGTATCTTGTGTAAGAATCGTTTTCAGGCTTCTTATCGCTTGCCCATCAGTGGCAGTTTTGTCTCCCGTCCCTACGATAGTAATGATCAACTTACTGTTGGAGTTCAAGAGCATATCTTTTTCCATTATTAGTAGATTTCTATCTCGAAGTGGACAAAGGCATCAATATGAACTCCAAGCTCTATCGCTTGGGAATAAATGCTCCCCTAGCTGCTTGCCGTTGAAACCCGATCATTCGAAACAGCACAGACAGACCGAGGGTCTGGTGCCTATGATGTCATCGTCAAAGAACACTCGAATGGGCAAAACAAAAAAAGAAAGAAATCCTTCCATCCAGCTTTCAAGTCAAGGAAGATTCAAAAAGATTTCCTGGATCTATTTATGACATATGTACGACTGGTTCTTGGGACCCAACAAGACTTCTCCTGGTTTTGAATTTCATCTCAATTCAATTTGCTTCCCAATGGCTCCTAAAGCCAAACTAGAACGAACTCCATGAGATTCGAACTTGAGCCATTTCGCATAATAAATCAGGCATCTTCCAACTCGTCCATACGGTCTATTGGTTACATCTCCAATCATCTTTGATGTACTCCTTTCTTTCCATAGATGCTTGATCTTCAAGTCAAATTCATGCAAA